ATAAGCAAGCTAACTTTTTTTCCCACTCGATAAAAGTTAACGTGAGTGTTCTCGGTGGTCAGGAACAAATGTAATCGCATGGCAGGATGCTGTAAAAGGACCAAACTCCAGCCAGGAGAACAACTGAGATAATCCATCCACAATACGAGGTTAGTCATTCATATACTGCTGCATGGGCTGAGCTGTAGTTACATCCTAAGGTTTTAAAAACTGAGCTTAAATAAATGATTAGCGGTAATAAAAGCCGAGGGAGGTCAACAGTGATCACTGACTGTTTTAGGAGCTTTTTGAGATCAAATAGAAGAAAATACATAACATTAAGCACGTTAACAACACAAAAGCCATATTAAACGCAGACTACTTTAGGCCCGGAAGTAGGATTCGTCGTGTCATCACTGAACAACCAGATAAATAATGAACAATTATTAACTCTTTTTTTTTTTTTTTGCCTGTACTTTAACAATGGGGCGATCGTGGCTCAAGAGTTGGGAGTTCAGGAGTTCGCCTTGTAATCGGAAGGTTGCCGGTTTGAGCCCCGGCTTGGACAGTCTCGGTCGTTGTGTCCTTGGGCAAGACACTTCACCCGTTGCTTACTGGTGGTGGTCAGAGGGCCCGGTGGCGCCAGTGTCTGGCAGCCTCGCCTCTGTCAGTGCGCCCCAGGGTGGCTGTGGCTACAATGTAGCTTGCCATCACCAGTGTGTGAATGGGTGGATGACTGGTTGTGTAAAGCGCTTTGGGGTCCTTAGGGACTAGAAAAGCACTATACAAATACAGGCCATTTACCAATCAGAATTGTTGTCTGAAGGCCACGAAGGATGCCCAACGGATTAATTTTTTCAAGTGGAGAAGATATGGTAATGCCATATTGGTCCACTTGATTGGATCTATTTAATTTAATTTTATTACAAATTGGACAGACAATTAGACAGAAAGAAAGACAGAAAGAAAGAAAGGGAAAATTAAAAATAGAGGTGAAGGAGGACAGTAAGACAAGACACTGAGAAAATCCATTGGATCACCTGTTACAAGGAGAAAAAAGAAAACAAACAACAAGAGAACAACACAATACAGAGATCAAAGACAACAACCTAGATACGTGTAAGTAACACTAAATACTAAATATTAAATTGTCGAGCAGCACGCAAGACTGACAGTGAACGATATGCTTTAAGGTAGCAGCCAAGGAAGATATAGTTTGTCTGTGAGCAAGCTTGAGTTCAAAAGGTTTATCCATGTAACGATCTGTTAGAGGGTGTGGGGAGACATAGCCCTGCCCCCCAAAGCATGAAGCAGGCATGGACCCAGGCCCAGACATCCAGAGGCCCACCAGAGTGTGAAAGCCCAAAGAGGACCACCGGAGAGGCAACCGCGCCGGAAAGAGCTGAGGAGAGCTCCAGATGTGAGGTCACCTAGGAGCTACGGTGCAGAAGCCACAGGGGGCTGCGGTGACGAGCCCGCAGCCAGTTGCGCCAGAGCAGATTGAGCACAGGTTCCAGAGGTCCGAGGGAACCCCACCCCCCGGAAGGGGCCTGACCTGGCCCTGCCAAGCAGCTGCTGGGAGTGAGCCGGGTACATACCTGAGCGCCCAGTACCGGACATCAACCACCAAGGCACCGACGGCTAAAGGCATCAGCCACCGGCAGGGAGTGTCGTGGGTGGAGACAGCCCTCCACACCTGGGGGGGGCCTGAGATGTTCCCAGAGAGGAGGAGGTGGAGAGTCAACCGGACACACACCAGACACAAGCTTACATTCCCACCCTCATGCAAACAAATACAAATACTCAGCACTCGCCCAATGTGGAGAGAAACAGTAATGAACACCCATTCACACTCTCCAAACGTACTCTATACTCCCAGGTCCAGGTATCACCGCCCTCAGGGGGGCAATCAGCCCCCTGACCCAGGAGATGTTACCCTTTTCCCTGGGGTGGAGGCAAGCAGACTGCCCCCGGCCCAGCAGCCGCAGGGATGGCCCAGCGTCCCAGACCCCGACCATACTGTCAACTCCTCCCAGGCCCCTGCCCCCAGTAAGCAACCATTAACTATTAAATATATTGCGTTAATTTGTAGCCACTAGTTAGCTCAGCACAAAAACAGCGCACGTGGAAATGAGCTAGCCTTGTTCTTTTTGTTTCTAACAATTAAATGCAACATGTCAGTCTATTAATTATTATGCGGATAAAGCACATGTGCTTCGGATTTCACTTTTAATTTGCTCAGATTCTGGACTCTATAAGCAGTTCAGCTATGTATCCCCCTGCTAGGGGGTTCTGTATCAGGCTGGAGAGGCCCCAAAAGTGAACATTTAATCGTTTAAATGTGAGGAAGCCAGAGTACCCGGAGAGAACCCAAGCAAACACGGGGAGAACATACAACCACCACACAGAAAGACCCCAGCCTGATGGTGGAATCGAACTCGGGACCTTCTTGCTGTGAGACAACAGTGCGGCCCATCTCATCCTATGCATCTTATCTCAGGTTACCATTAACAACAATGCTGACGTACACCAAATTACCACTGAAGAGTGAGAATATTTTCTGATGCGCTTGATCAGAATAGTTCCTTCTCCAATGAGATCCAGCCTGGTTTAAACCAGGGCACTGTTGTGGTTTGGAATGAATTCGCCACGGCCTGGATAAGTTTACGGTTCTCTCATTCAAAGCGCAACTCATCCATCATGTCTTTGGTATGAACAAGTTGTGCTGCTCAAGAGTCTCAGCTCAGGCTTTAAAAGCTTGCCAGTAAGTTGGGTTTTCAGAATGACAAAAATGTTATGTAAGTGTTTTGGAGTTTGTACATGCTTTGTCTCTAGGGGCCACAGTAATATAGAGCCGACTCATAACAATCACAACAGTGTAAGGGATATTTAAGGCAAAGTAAGGGGATCAACAAAGTCATAACGAATATTTGCTTGGAAGCTTACAGAGTTGTTAAGATATTTATTTCTGAGTATCAGGGAGGCAGAATTTATTATTTGTGCTGTCACACTAGAAGAATTGTCAAATCTTATGCTGCTGTACATTTAATTTAAAAATCACAACCAAAATGTGTTAAAAATGTATTTTATATGTGCAGAGAGACATGTTCTCATACTGAAGATATTCTGTTTGATCTTCTCATGGACCTCAGAAAAAAAAGGTCAAAAAAAGTGTTTTAGTATAAGGCACAAAATGAATGTAGATAAAAGCAAAAACAGGTTAAAGGAAATAATGATGCAATGCTCTGTAGGAAGCAGGAAACGCCGACAGTTTCAAAGTCAAACATGCGTGAGACTTGTTGAGTAGCTCAGCTGGTTCATTTAAAAATAAACACACTGCTGCAAAGTCCTGTTGGCATGTGCATATCTTAATGAGGGAAAACAAATGCCAGTAACATTGCCAGTAAGTTGCTCTGGACTGACAGGAAGTAAAAGATGATCTATTTATTATCGAATGAATAAAACATTTTACAACAGTAAACGGTGAAGTAGCTATATGACTGGAAACGTTTGTTTTTGCTTTTTTTTCTTTACTGCTCCTATGAAAATGTGGTAAATATATCTATGCTGTCATGTGAAAGAAGAAAGTATGTCCTCTTTCGAGTCTAAAGTTTTACATATCACATTGTTTAAAAAAAAGAACTGTAACAGTGACATATGACATAATAAAAACGAAATCAAAATGCAGACAAGTCATATTTGTTCAGTCCTTTTTCCTCTTCTACTGTCACAACTGTAAACATTTAATGTGCTAAATGAGGCCTGTAGAGACTGAAATGTAGATCATGGGTTTGTTCCATTTTTGCACTTTCTGACCTTGGTGGGAATTTGCTGGGATCTCCACTCCAGAGCTCCAGACCAGCAAACTGCAAAAAACTTTTTTTTCTTTAACAACACAACACTTTAACAACACTTTAACAACACAATAATGTAATCTACGATCTAAGTTTCAAAGACAAACATGTTGGGAAACTTGTTTAGTCAGCCACCTGATTCGAAAAACAAAATACCTAAATGCTCCTCTGTGCAGGTTAAATAATAAGTCAGCTGTAATTAAACACCTCTAAATGTAACAATGCAAAACAGAAAGAAGCAGCATGGTGGTGGTTTTTAAAACTTTTAAAACTACGGTACGGCATCACTAACCATACATCTACATCTGTTTAGGTTCATCTCATCTCGCATCAACCTGATGGATTTTTCTTTGTATTAATAGAGAAACTGATCAAAAAGTAAGAAACAGAAGCAGAACGAAGGTACCACAGAGTCGAACATTCACAAACATATTCACGTGCGTACACATTCACACATTGTCTATGATTTGTTTTTCTGCTTGTCTCAGTTTTATTTATGATTTGTGGCATATAGACAACTCATTCTGTGCACCTTGTCTCAGCTATGTTAACTGTGCTATCTCTGTCATCAATTGCTTTCTGCACAGCCAAACATAAACACCAAGAAGAAAACAAGCGAACTACCGGAATACAAAGGAAGAAATTACATCATGATGCACAATAGACCCGTCCGACTGGACACCCCGGTGCTGCCGGGATGATGTCGGGAATGCACAGATCTATCAAAGGAAACAAACAGACGGGGAATCACATGGCACAAAAGCTTCAGAGTTTCAGCGATTTTCTTTTGTGTGAAAATGTTTAAATAAATCATGAACCACATTTCTGAGCCACTCTCAGGCCCTGTTTACCGTGGTCACTGATATGTAGGAATACCCTTTTGATAAAGGAGTAGGACTGGATCACTTTAGTCTGAGAAATGTGATTTTTAAAGTTACTGCAAACTGTATTCACTAAAAGTATTCTTTAAAAAAAAAAAAGCAAACTGAATACCTTAAAAGAACTGCAATGTTATATTATAGAGATGATAAAGGTTCATTAGCCTTACATATAATATAGCCTAATAGGGACATCTAGTGGCTAAAACTTGTCAAATCTGCTTCATGAGTTACGTGAATGATTCCTAATCCAATACAACAAATAAGGCTTTAGAAAACAGCACACACAGCAGAATGATATTCATTTTTATTCCGTTTCAACTCTACAGGCGGAGAAAAATGACAGAATTACAGAGATATTCTTGAAGGTGCAGTTAGGAAAGAAAGTAAATCCACCTGCTGGTGTTTGGTTTCTTCCAGTCTGATCCGTCTGCCACACTTTTAGACAAAGAAAAAGCCGAGCTCAGAGGTGGCAATGCAAGAAAAAAGGCAGCTCTGGTGCGCAGTCAGCTGTAGCCTCTAATAGGGGATTGGTCCATAGTAGGCAGTGTAGGCGGCGATGATGCCGTTTATGTCCATCATGTGCTCACAAGCCACGTTGGCCTCACACACTTCTCTCAGGCTGAATGGAGGAGAGAGGACACACACACAGTTACTTATGATGTTTCATACCTTCATGAAAACTTTCCATATCCAACCCAACCCTATTAAAGATAAGAACATGTCTAAAAACATGCAGCAATAAGGTTTGTAGATAAGGTGTGAGATACCTCTCCAGCTGTACCAAGGATAACTGTCCAGCAGCTCTCTTCTGCCTCACCACCGTGGAGGCCTGCTCCCTCTCCACAAACAAACCTGCACATCACAGTCATAAGACATCTGTCAACCTGCTGTTGTTTATGAAAAAAATTTTTTTTTTTTGTAAAGATCAGTATAGCATAAAAACAAAAAAAGTCATAGAGAAAAAACAACAAACAACAAAAAACAAGAGTATAGAATATTTTTTGCAAAAAATCATTCATCATTCATCATTCTTGGTATATCATTTCACTCATGCAGTGCCTGAAAGTTCGAACCCCTTCTCCATTAAACTCTGGACGAATAAACTAATATTAATCATACCCTCCTCAGCAGGGTTGTCACCAGCAGGCTGAGGGTCGGTGGCAGCATCTATCAAACAGAAGGGGAAAAATAAGAACAGACTAACTTTAAAAAACTAATTTAGTTTAAAGGTTTAAGGTTAAAAAATTACATTGCAAATATTGCTACAGCTCTTACCCGAAGCGACACAGATAACTACCAAGAAGCAGAGAGCCAGGATAGCCACGGTCTTCATCTTTTCTTTCTTTTTCAGCCTTCAGTTTAAGGGAAAATGGCCCGAGCTGTATCACTCACTCTCTCCGTCTTTCCTTCTCTTAGACATATATATGTAAAAACACACTCGGTTTATAGATGTAGCCCTTGTGTGACATGGATATGTGATTGGTTAGGGAATCATGTATCACACACCCACACAGATGCAGAAATACACACCTCTGCAAAAATGAAGTATATATATATGTATGTGTAAAAAAAGAAAGAAAGAAAAGGGCATCCACACTCACAGCGTTGCAGAATAAGGGGTCCAAAAGGTGGGCAATGTTTTAAAGCATAGGTGAGGAGCCACAAATATATGCCACTGGAAGGATCTTTCAATCAACATTATTTTACAGCTTCATTTGACCTACTTACCAGATTTGTGTTAAGAATCACAGTTTCCTTTTCCTCATCTTTGCAAAATTTGCAGTTATCTCTGTTAAAATAAAAAAACAAACAAAAAGGAGACAAAAAACAGAAAGAATGAAATCAAATCAAATCACTGTCACCGATATCTCATCATACGTAGTGGTAGTAATATAAAATTTAATGAACTCTTTCAGGAAAGCAGCTCGGACAGGTCAGACTTTTAAAGCGCCCACACACTTGTACATTTAGTTCAGTAAGTGCATGAGGCAGAGAAAAACCATGGCTTACTCACTAAAAAGGAAAAACCACTGTCCCACATTATGCTGCATTATTTTAATCTGAGGGCTTTCTTTTTATTGCAAACCACAGTGATTTCCTACATAGAGAAAGCAACATTTAGAAACAACCATGTTTGTTTGAAGCTTTGTAGACGGGCCATTTAAATGTGCACAGATATTTTTACCACAACAAGTGGGTGGTTCGACAGTTAAGCAGAGGAAAGCTGCATGATGTCGAGTGGAACATGTCGTTTGATTTTTAATGAAAACAAGACTTCCCACAAGCAAAGTGCCTAATACTCTCATGCCACTCCTAAAATGTAATCCTTTCCTGACACCATGACACCCCCCTCCTCCAATCCCTCTCTCAGCAGCAAGACATCTCCCCCCCTCCCCTCCTCCTAAACATCTCCCAGTGTCACAGTGGATCAGGTCAGGAGACAACTGAGGAAGCTTCGCCCCAGAAAGGCAGCAGGCCCAGACAAGGTGTGTCCTAGGATGCTAAAGGCGTGTGCTGCTGAACTTGGGGAGCCGCTACAACGAGTCTTCAACCTCAGTCTGCGACTGGGGAGAGTGCCCGCCCTATGGAAGACATCCTGCATCGTCCCGGTCCCCAAAAAGAACCGGCCCAATGAGCTGAATGACTTCCGACTGGTGGCACTGACGTCACATCTTATGAAGACTCTAGAGCGGCTCTTCCTCAACCTCCTCCGACCACAGGTACAACATGCCCAGGACCCACTACAGTTTGCATACAAGGCGGGTGTCGGAGTGGAGGATGCCATCCTGTACCTCCTACACAGAGCCCACTCACACCTGGATGGGGGAAAAGGCACGGTCAGGATCCTGTTTCTTGACTTTTCCAGTGCCTTTAATACCATCCGGCCCTGTATGCTTCAGGAAAAACTGAACAGGATGGAGGTGGACCCCTGCCTGGTCGCTTGGATCTCCGACTACCTCACCGACAGACCACAGTACGTCAGGCTGAAGGACATCACGTCTGACACAGTGGTCAGCAGCACAGGAGCACCACAGGGAACTGTGCTGTCCCCTCTTCTCTTCACCCTGTACACCTCTGACTTCTGCTACAACTCTGAATTATGCCACATTCAGAAGTTTGCAGACGACACAGCCATCATGGGGTGTATCTGGGATGATCAGGAAGAAGAGTACAGAAGTCTGGTGAGGAACTTTGTCGCATGGAGTCACACAAACCACCTGCAACTCAACACCTCAAAGACTAAGGAACTGGTTGTGGACTTCGGGAGGTCTAGAGCAGGTCCACTGACGGTTCAGATAGAGGGGGAGGAGGTGGAGGTGGTCAACAAGTACAAGTACCTCGGGCTGTGGGTGGACAATAAACTGGACTGGTCATGCAACACAGAGCACCTGTATAAAAAAGCACAAAGCCGACTGTACTTCCTCAGGAGGCTGAGGTCTTTTAACATCTGCAGGAAGCTCCTGAGGATGTTTTACCAGTCGGTGGTTGCTGGAGTACTTTTCTATGCTGTGGTGTGCTGGGGGAGCAGCACAGCAAAGAAGGACTCATCCAGGCTGGAGAAACTGATCAGGAGGGCTAGCTCTGTGGTCGGCATGAAGCTGGACACTCTGGTGACAGTGGCAGAGAAAAGGACATTAAAGAAACTGATGGACATTATGGACAATGCTGGGCATCCTCTGCACACGGCCATAAACAACCAGAAGAGTCTGTTCAGTGACAGGTTGCTTCTCCCCAAGACAAGAACTAACAGACTTAAAAACTCCTTTGTCCCACACGCCATCAGACTGTTTAACTCCTCCCTGGAGGGGAGAGGGAGGGGAAACAGGAGGACAAAGGAGGGGGGAACAACTAAGCTGTAGTGCCTCTTCACCTCACTGTGCAATACCTTTTGTGCAATACTTTTGTAAACAGTCAACAGTGCAATAGACTCAATACTTGAAATGTGCAATTCACTTGTATTTTTATTTTTTATTCCTATTTATTCTATTTATCCCCTTCGTATATTTTATTTATATTGTCTCTGTATTTATATATGTGTGTGTGTGTGTGTGTGTGTGTGTGTGTGTGTGTGTGTGTGTGTGTGTGTGTGTGTGTGTGTGTGTGTGTGTGTGTGTGTGTGTGTATATATAATATTCTGTAACTCTGTAACTTCTGTCAGTGCTGTGCTTTTTTGGAAATCGAATTTCCCAGAGGAACCCACCCGAGGGATTAATAAAGTTCTATCTTATCTTATCTTATCTTATCTTTTGTGGGGTACACATCAAACATCTTTTGTTTCAAGCAGACACTGCAGGATTACCTGTGGTTCGGCAGCTCCTCTCTTGATGTCACACGATATTAGCAGGGTGGGCAGAACATTCACACTGTTGGGGGATCCTCATATACCAGGGTTATAGTTGTGGGTTGGTGCTATCATAGCTTTGCAGAGCAGATCTACATGCTGTAGCTCTGTACAGTCACTAGGAGGCAGTGTGAAAAATATGTGGCATAACCTGTAAGAGGTGAAAGTCAAGTGAAAAAGTGTTAAAATCAATCTGTCTGCTGTAGGCATCGTCTATGTTTCTCACACTGCTTTTTTTTTTAATGTTCTGCATGTCTTCCTCTTTGTGGTGATATACCACTCCAGTTTAACTAAACTTTCAATAAATATTCATCCTACACATAGCATCATCACAACTTGGCTGTGTTTTGTTCTAAGGTGTGAAAAAAAGAAGGCAACCAAACCAAAAACAAGGTATGGGTCCTCACCAGGGGTCAAGGGTGAAACCACAATGAGCGTTTGCGTCTGAGGAACTGCTGAGATTTGAACATGCTGGGTACCATGACTGGAATCACTGAGAACCTACACAGATGTTATGCACTGTTAGTTTTGTCAGATTATTGCATGCAAGCACTTGGCATTGTTTGCTCACCAAAATTATGTGCTCTGCAACACGAAAAATCCTACATCAAATTAGCCTCCAGCTTTAACATAGGCAAACATAGCCTTCTTTAACTGGTCTCAGCTGTGCTGGCTTGTTAACTGTGTTCAGCTGTTGGTGTACCTTGCTAAACAGTTCACTACCTAGAACCTTCAGGAAAGTTGTACCTGGAAAACTTGCGTTGGCACCAGACCAGGTGATGTGGATAGGAAAACGGCTTTGACAGGGGACATTTGAGTCAAGTCACTTTGCTATTACATAAAACTGAAAAAGAAAATGTGTTTCCACTAACACTTGCAATGCATAATTACAAACATGCACACAAAGTACACTCACAGAGACCACAGTTACAAAAGTAGACCACATGTCTTAGGAGGTAGAGAGAAAGAGGAGAGACTTTTGTATAGGTGCAGAAGTCGATCACTGAGTTCACCACACACTAGGACAGCTGACTGTGAGCGCACGATATCTTTAACATTGCAATTCCCATTTGTTTTGCAGCTTTTGAGTACAGTCACGACTCAAATAGTACAACTAGCTGCACAAGCTGATGAATAACACGTTTTTAGTTTCAAAGAAGCATGACAGATACGTCCTAAATCTGACTTGCATCCATCCACTCAATGTCCTCCTCAGTCATACGACTCACCACGACTGCTGCAGAAATGATAGTAGTTGACTGAATTTAACTGAAAAATTAAACGCAGCTTGCACTTCAGTAACTTATCAGCAATGTGGTTGTTTTTCACATCCTTGGAAACAATGGCAGCTGTTTTCCATTCGTGAACTAGAGCCTTGTTGATCAAATCTTGGTATTTGGCTTTCTTCAGGTGGTGAGAGATAACTAACCCGCCCTCCCAGGTCATTTCAAGTTCAGTTATTAAGATTTTTTTGTGCTTCAGGACCATAGAATCAAGTTTAATCAGAGGAAGGTCACAGAGGTCTTTCTGTCCTCCTTAGGTCAACTCGCATTTTTCCAGTCACAAGTTTAGAAAGGACGACATTGATCTGTTGTTTCTTGCCTTTGACCCTCTGTAGGCTGTCTGTGTCCACTTGCACATTTTTGTAAGGACCATATCGTGCCTCCAGCTGTAACAGCTGTTTTAAGAGATCTAGTCGTGGTACCCTGGATTACCTCCAAGGTTAGCGATCACATGGTAGTTTAATGGTGTACTAGAAATCATAATGTCAATGCTCTACTGAATACCGTCCCAGTAACACAAACATATCATTTTTATTTTCAAAGCTGAGCCTTTTAAGTTCACTTTGTGACATGGATGCCCTTTGTTGCTATTTCTAACTAGAGATTTCGAAGCTGGACCGGTCCGGACAGTAGTAGAGCATATGGGTTGTAATTTCACAGTCTGGGTCAATGCTGGTGCCTTTTGTCTCGTTTCAGTGACAGACTACAAGGATTTACCCTCAGGACAATTATAATTATACACTTTCGTGGCCATGTGGCAGCACAGACAGACAAACACCCAGTATAACTGTCATTTTACTTCTACAGCATTTTGACATCTGCCATGTGCTGAGCTGTCCTTGTGTCTGTCTGCACATGTGCAGTACATTCTTCTCAAGACTGCAAGAGACCAGACACCGACAGTGCATACTGAAATCATAATGTAACTCCTCAACACGTCAGTTGTGTAACAACACATTCAATCAGGTTCTGTAGAGCTTTTTAGACACTTGTACTTGATTTCTTCCCATTTTACTGCACTATGTACTTCTGCTGCACTACATTACTGTACTTTGTTTTATAGAAGCACTCACCAGATTTACATTTGAATTCTAAACCATGTGATAAACACTAGAATAACCAAGTGGTTTCCAGTATTTATAGACTGTTTGTGTTAAAGTGGGCTTCTTACATTTATATAATTTCCTTGGGGATTAATAAAGTATTCTGATTCTTGTAATGTGTCTCATATTTATGCACAAGGCCGTATTTAACTTTCCTAATGGTTCTTAAGCACTCCCAAATATTGTTATATTACATATAACATCTGGCATATATTGAAAAACACTGAGAATCCCCAAAGTTCTCACAAACTCATGTGGCAAGCAAATTGCAAAAACAGGATTAAGACCAAACCCATTAAAAGTCATTATATTTGTTTATTGACAGCATAAGTAAGTGGAGATTGTAAGAAATGGTTAGCGGAAAGTGAGCCAAACGCTTCACTCGAGCATATCCCGTAAAGCCCATAAATGCTGGGATCATGCAGTGATACTTGATAAAAGTCATCCTGAGATTACACAAGAAACAGGCTGTAAATTTCTACATGAATATAATGATGGGCTGCTGTGTGATTTGAGCCACATTGACTGGAAGTTCTGGTGTTTATATATAAAAAACAGTTTTCTTGCCAAAAGAGCCCACAAAAACAATTACATAAATTATCTAAAAACTGATGATATGTGGACTAAAGGACCAGATGATAATGAGACTTTTGCATGTGAGGTCCAGCTTAGTATCGGCGAGTCACAGCAGGCCGCCGTGGTTGACTTCTAGCGCCAAAGTATCTGTTGTAGGCCTGCTGGGCACCGTGGTGATAGGCATAGAAGCGGCAGGGGGAGTAGTCCTCGCAGATCTCTGCGCGTCTTTCTGCTGGAGACTTGAATGTCCTGGGAATTAAAACAAGAAGGTTTTCAAAATGAAGAAAAGTAGAGGAACTCTAAACAGAAATGAATTTAATAATTCTCTTTTATCCTGCACTCCAGGCTCTGTGTTTGTGTCTGTGGATTCTTGAAGCACATGTAGATGTTTAATGGTCCAATTAGGCTTTGTCTTAATGAGGCACAGTGCCGTATATGTATGGCAAGCATGCATTTTCTGTGGGTTTGTGGTTTTAAACATGCAGGAGATAAAGTGCTCTGCATTGCATGCCTGCCCATGGTTTTAGGTTTTACCTCCTGAAGTTGTAACTGCCGAAGCCATTCCCTCTGGATGGGATGTATATGTTGCCTCTCTGTGGTGGGATGAATGAGTTGGCTCGGTTTGGAGGCACAAACAAATCTGAAACCACAAAACTTTACTAGTGGGAAAATTTGATTTCAATCAGCATCTGGCATGCCGGTCATGCAGCAGATCAGGTGAAACAAGGGCTGAGGGCATGTTAGTAAAGACTAAATGAGGATTAAATACATCACATTTGTTATAATGGCATGCATGTTTTTCCAGAACCGAGAAACAACATTTCAGTCACCTTCAGTGGATTCTGTGCTTTCATGAGACTCTACGGGAAAAACATGGAATCGGGTTAATCATAAATGATGAATGTCTTATTACATTTTGTTATGTTGCAGGTTATGAATAAATAATGGCTGCCGAGCGATAGCAAAGTGAGGGCATCTGGGAGGATCTATACCATAGCAGACGCAGAGAGAGACTGCAGCACAGAGTGCCAGAAGACGAAGAAGGCTCCTCATCCTGGGGTTTGTTTATCTGCCTGCCTGCTGGAAACAAAGCAGACAAGTATTTTTGGTAAGTCGTGGTAGTGCTGAAGTAAGAGTTAGATAGGCAGTAGGGAAAAAATAGAAAAAAATGAGACAAAATAAGGCAAAGGGAAGGATGCAGAACACTTTTTTGCATTTTGAGGGTGGGTAAACAGACCAAAACCTCAAGCTGGGGTAAAAAGTGACAACATTTCTGTGGGTTTTGTGCAGATAAACAACCAATATATGAAAAAAATCTCTGTGCATGCTGGCACAGTGCTGCAGATTTTTTTTTAATGGAACAAACACAAAACCACAGATATGAGTCAAAAAGTCTTTTCACTGTGCTGGCCTTAGGTTGAGGCCAATCTGCACCACGCAATGAAACCTCAGGTTGCAAGGAAGAACCGTAAGAGAATAGCTGTGGCCGAGAGGAGCTGCTTAACAGCCAGCGAATGAACAGACTGGAATTATGAAGTTGAGGGTGGCTCGGGGTGTACGCTCGCACCGCACGTGTCTACATGTAAACACTCAACGTGTAAGTGTGAGTGACCTGAGGTAGGGTAAGTGCCACCTGTATAAACAGCAGTGCCAGATGTCTGCAGAAAAGCTTTCATCCCCACGTTCTGTTTGTGGGATTTGGATGGAACGCTTGTTTCGGCAGCGCTCTTTTTCACCATCAATAGCAGCTTTCATTATACATTCAGAAGCACACACACACACTGACACATGATCCCCTCAGGCATATTTGTCTGCAGTGTAAGCCAGACCCACAGTGGGCACAGAAACAGCGAGCCTGGGGCCTAAAGTTCAAAAAGCGACTCCCAAAGACTGGCAAGCTAAGTGAGTGTGTGTGTGTGTGTGTGTGTGTGTGTGTGTGTGTGTGTGTGTGTGTGTGTGTGGTGCTGACAAGAGTGTCTACAGAGTTTAATGCCTGTCTGAGTCTCAATAGGGGTCCTAGTGAAGTCCCAGCTTCCTTCCCTGCAGACAGAATGTGCACACATCATTGGAAAAAGCCAA